ATATTTGTATTCTGATTTGGAAAAATCGTTTTAATGGATTAAAGAGAAACATTTAATCTATTTATTTACTAACCAACTGGTATTGGTTGCCAATTGAAGTTTTCCATCCATATCTGACCTTTCGTCGGAGGCCACAAGCCGGCATTAACAAGTTGGGCCGATAAGATCGACAGGGGATGCTCCGTCGTACGCGTTTTCATAATGTCCGGCGTGTACGTGTTACCCAAGAATTCGTTGTAAGCCTCGCGCAGATATGCCCCGAGAACGTACATGTCGAGCTCTGCATTCTGCCCGATCGAGAAAGGCAATGATGGCAATCATAAGAGTGACCCAAAAAAAGATAGTTTTTTTCGTCTGTTTTTTTGGGCCCTCAATTTTGAGACTGGACTTTGTGTCAAATGATACCTTATAATAAGATATTAATCACAGAAAAGTTTCAGGTTGAGGTGACAATTGTTATCACAGCTGAAAGGGGGATTATTTATTACGCCTCTTTATGCAAAAACGACTTTTTTTTACATTACCAAAAACGAGCGACATTTATGTAAAACTGTGATCAACCTTCTTAAAATATCGGACCTCTCAGACCTGTAATAATTTTATAATAAACTTTAATTTCATTTTATAATAAACTTTAATTTCCTCCCCTTCTTTTTCAGCTCTAATAACAGCTGTCACCTCAACTTGAAACTTCTCTATAATTAATATCTCATTATAAGATATCATTTGACACACAATTCAGTCTCAAAATCAAAGGCCCAAAAAACGGTCGATTTTTTTTATCACTCTTTATTTTCAATCAGGTACACATGAAAAGCGATCAACTTAATTTTATATTAAATTATAGGTTTAATGTTAAATTAACAATTAGTTATATTAAATATCAAATGTATGGAAAGAATGATTTTGTATTGAGTCAAATTTTTAGATATTTTAAAGCAAAACTGTATAGTTGGAAAATTGTATTAATTTTAATACAATTTGTCCCAAGATAGTTCACATACATTTTTGTTAATTTAACACAAAAGATGAATATATTAAAAAGAAATTAACACAAAAATTATGTAAAAATTAATTCAGAAAATGTAACTTTAACAATTTGCAAAAAAATCATGAGAACATATTTTTGTGGTAAAATTAATTAAATTTGTAAGGTGAATATGTAATACATGGTCTATATCAATGTGCAATAGATTGTAAACTGTAAGTCATAAGAAATTGACCAATTACAATCGAATCTGAAGAGAATAATTGACTGTGATTGATCAATTTCTTATGACTTATATGACTTACAGCTTACTGTTATTATCCATTATAGAATTCCATCATAAAATTAATTGATTCATTTTATGTTATTTATTCATTTATTAATGTGTTATTTTCACACTAGGAAATGTTAAATATTAAATAATACATTAAATTGACACACTTATAAGTATGTTAAAAGTTCAACATAAAAATTTTAAAACGATATTCGTTTTACACAAGTACAAAAAACGTTTTCCGCGTGTGTACTTTTCGTATTGTGTACCAAAGAAGTGTTTTAATCTTACACGTACCACCGGTATATTCATCGTAGCAGAAATGAAGGATTCATACGATAAAGTTTCCGGGATGCTGGTCTGGTTCGTTTCCGCGTCGTCTTCCCATGGCGCGTACAACTTATGCGCGAACAGCTGTGACCACATCAATTTTGACTATCATGAATATTTCTTACATATTAATAAATTTACATTTAAAATAAAATATATACTTACAACATGCATAAATTTTAAGTCTGGTACAGCTGAATTCGGATGTACGCAGATACATAATGCGAGCATGATGCAGGCAAAGTGTAACTCGGTCATTTTTACGCGTCTCTTCTCTTCGGGAGACAGGTACTATACTGCGCTTTAACAATAAATGTGAATATAATTGTACAGGTCTGAGATTAGAGAAAACAGACAGATGAAGGTCTAAATAGTTTGTCAACAGTAACAAATGTACGACAGTGTGATACGTCGTATATTTATTTCGAAGAATTTCGCAAATCGCGTCGAGGAAGATGCTATAAACACAACAAAAACGATGAAATTGTCATAATAATTTAAGAATCATGATATCGATCATGTAACTTTTTATTTAGGACGGAAAGACTTGAGAACACCAAGTGAAAACATTGAGATATTAAAAGATATCTTTATTAGTATGTTGTCGATGTTTTCATTTTTCTGTCCTAGCGGAAAAGTTATGTGCCCAGATACGAAAAGAAACAACTTTTAAGCTACGTAACATACTTTTTCGACGACTTTGTCGACGACTTTTTATACAAACTTTTTGACAATTTTTCTGAATATTTGACGTTAGACTGTAGCATCTGAAAATATGTTTTAGCACAGAAATGGTTTAAAACTTTATTGAGAAATTTGGAGTATGATACTTAGATATTTATAATCGATTGTTATTTGACAAATAATTACATAATCTCTAATTAATATTTTTTTTTATTTAATTTTTAGAATTTATCAAATTATTGTTATTTCGCTAATCTCGAATTAATGAATTAAATAGATTTAATTATTATTTATTTCAACGATAAATCCTATATATGTAATTTACTACAGAAGCGTCAAAATTGATTTTATAGCTTTTCAACTGGAAATATCAAAAAATAAATGAGTTCAAGAAAAATGATATTTCTTTATTCTCATAAAATTTGGGTATTAATTTAATCAAAATACATTTTCTATTCACGCATATAATATTATTCTTTATTAGAATAATATTCTGTAGAGTTTAAAAAATCTCTGATATGTCAAGCATTTATCATATTATCTTTATTTATCATGTTCTCTTTTTTTAAACATATTTTCAATCATATAATGATTATAATTGTCTATAATAAATTATTAAATAATCAAATAAATGTTTTTGATATATTTTTTAAATAATGATGATATCTTGGGTTAAATAAAATATGTAACCGAGTAACAGAAAAACTCTCGTTCATTATTATGGTTAAGGCTTTACTTGATGACTCTATAATTATATTTTAGCTAATAATTGAAGATTAACTGACTAAATTCTTTAAAAAATCACATTAATATAAATTATGAATTACAAATAATATTAGATTTTTCAAACACAGATTCATAGAAAGATCTGTAAAATATTAATTCAAGTTAATGTTAATATAATACATAAAGTATATAACTAGTAATAATTACTGGTTGAATAGTAATCGAATATTAAATCTGTAATTAGTAATAATAAAATTAAAGATTGAAAATGATCTATAAATATAAATCTGTAATTAATTTATTTAGTTTTTAATCAAAGAATTAAAGTTATTTACGACTATGAGTTCCAGCTTTATGGTCTGAAACTTTGAATTTATCTTTCATAATTTATAATTAAATCATAGTTTCTCCGTATTTTAAATAAATTTATAAATATGCGGATACCAAGACTTAAGGGAAGGGAGTGGGGAGAGTGATTTGTGATATTATGCAAGTGGTCATATAATTCCAGAGAGATAAAAATTTTTTTATATTTCTGTCCACATCCGCAAAGACAACTGGCAAGTCTGCCGCAACATTTCCGAAACCACGACCACTTGTATCCGCAGCTGATTGATAAGCAGAGATCCGTGTTATCAGAGTGTACGACTTAATTACGATAGATGTACTGTCGACAAGCCAACACTTTACGCATTTTCATTTATTTCTTCATCTGATTGTCATCGCGATAAGATTTAATTAGCAATATCGAAAGTTTTATAACGTCAGCTTGTTAAGATTACTTCGAAATATGGAAATATTATTCGTTCTTTATCTATAATTATATATTATCGTTTTATATCAATACTCATTCTTTTTCATTACGAGCATATATAGCTTATTTACATAATACATGACGTACAAATCACCTGATAATTACACTTGAATTATTACTGATAATAGATCTTATTATACATAAGATAACCAACATATAAATCTGATGTCAATTTTGAGAATAAATATATTTAGTAGAAACAAGAGATACGATTTGAAAAGCTTATATTTGTAAGGAAATTGATCACCTACAAAATTTCGTACGGATCAATTATCGCGTGCACACTCTTCTTTGCATTTATTCGCGATTTAAACAATATTTTATTTTTTAAATACTCACTTTTCAATTCTTCGCTTCTTCTCCTCGAACTGAAAACTGTACAAATATACTGAGCGATATGCAATTACTATGCAACATTATTTCTCAAGATTTTACCTCTACTGGTTATCTTACCGTACTGTCTGATCTCGTTTACGAACAATCAGTGACTCGACCGACAATGGTTAGTCATGTGTATTAAGGAATTTATTTGGCAAACAGACATTGTGTTAAATCAGTCTGTCTAAACAATCCATCTGCGAGTATCTATCTCGTTTTATTAAATAATGTAAAATAATCAAAATTTAGTAAAAGAGCTATAATTAATTTATATAATGTAAAGTAAATATATCATTGTTTAATAAACCTCGATAATATTTAAATTTCAAAAATATTTTGAAATTTTCAGTAATAAAGTATGTAAAACTTAAAGTTATAATTTTTAAATATGCTACTAAAAATTTGTATCGAAAAATAATTGTAACTGAAAGGATTATAAAAATGTATACAGTACTTTCGTCGTTGTATTTTATTTTAGTTATATAATACTTTCATCGTCGTCGAAAACATTTCCGCAATATGCGAAGTTGTTTGAACACTTGCAGCTTTGATAAAAATCATGCACCTTGCTCGTGATAATTAGTAACATCCTGATGGATGTTAGTGCAGAATAACAATTTTCGCAAAAACTTACAAAATTTCGAGATTTTTTTTAAATATTTTTCTATTTATAAATTTATTTATATCAGTTTATATTAATTATATTAATTAAAATTTTTTAATTTCATAATTATGTTAAAACATTAGATCAAAATTATATTAATTAAATAAATATAATTGTATAACACTTAATAAAAATAATAGGTATTATACTGTCGACAATTTTTTTACAATTATACATCTATAATAGTTTATATGTATATCGACTTTACATCGATTTATATGAATAATCTGCATATTGTCATTATATTGGGTGATATTTCGTAATCCATGCATATTACACGTAACCGTATTATATATAGCAAGCATAAGAAAACGTGATCGGTAACGATACATGTTAATTACGGGATCACAACGATAATACTACTTTTGCAGTGTGTTTCACGAAAGCTAATGATAAGTTGTAGTGAAGGCCAATGCTGGAAAATAATTTTAGTATTAAGAATTAGCAATTTACGATAACGTCTGTATGTCGCAGTAGCATCTTAATATCGTCATAAATTGCGATCGTTATTTCGTTGATATGCATTAATTGATAACGTTAATATAACTTACAGAAAAATTGCGGTATGCATATAAATATAAATATTATATATAATATTATATATAATATAATATCATATATAATATAATAAAATATTATATATAATATAATATTTATATTTAATTTTCCGATAGCGATTTACCGCGTACGAAGCATATTTCTTCTATTTTTAGTCTTTTTAATAACAAAATTTCAATATTTTCATAAATATCAACTAGTTACTAGGCACATCCGTCAAAAACTAAGAATAGCCAAATAATAATTCTGTTATTCTATTTGGAGGTCGTTTAGATTGATACAAATAAGAGTATTGTTATTGGCAAAGACATTGATCTTTAGTACTTCTAATAGCACGTACATACTCTTGCTAATAAAAAAATTTATTTCCTTAACCTTTTAACGGTGGGAGTGGTCGATATATCGGACCACCTAGGGGACACATAATTTTTTATGTTTTTTCAGAGAAAATTTTATGCGTTGAATATGGGAAAAATAGTGTAAAAATTCCTGGAAGCATCCTTGACCTTGAAAATCGTTATTTCTTTTATTTAAAAAAAATTTAACCTTGAAATGGCG